TATGCATCATATAGGGCAGAGTATGGCGCCATTAATCAATCTCCCTCTCAGACTCTTGAATACTCCTCACAGTCTGCTCACCTCCTCCTGCGGCTCAGCCAACAAGGAGAGGAGTTCATCAATCTTGTCACACCTCCCACAGTCTTGCTTGCAATCACTTTCCGCCTCTAGGAATATCCCTTCACACTTCCCACAGCTGGAAACCTGGGTGGTTGCATGCTTGAACAGAAGCTCTGTCTGTGCAGCTGCATTGGTTCTACCAGGTGCTAGCAGCTCAGGAGAAACAGGGGATACTGCTTTTTGCCAGGTGGTCACCATGCTTCCATGCACCACACGCCTGCCCGCTGGCAATATATATGTTCGTGCATTGCAATCAGCTGGGCTGATTGTTTTCACCTGCTTAAATCTCCCACTCTGCCGGGTGCAGGCTCCACCCCTTGCTGTCTCTTCCAATCAGCGGGTCTGAGGTCAGTTGCTTGGGGAACGCCCCCTGTTCAGACAAGCCTTTACTTGTCCACGTGTATCCCTCGTGTTTGTTTTTTTTTTTTTAAATTATATGAGTAACACACCCTAATCCAAAGATGCGTTTACTTAGAGGCTTTCAAAGAAAAATATTGAGGTTTCCAAGAAACAAAGTTAAATGACTTGCAATAAATTTTCCCATTGTATTCATTCAAACTTTTAGCATTGAATGTTAACTTATGGCTCCACAGCAAGCATACATCAGTCCTCTTTTCTCTATGAAACATGTACACTTAATGTTTATGACGATGCTGCCATTTAACCCTATATGTAATATACAAGAATAAATGTCATCAGGGACAAATAAGTTTGAACCATATATCTCAAAGAGTAACCAGAACATTGAATTAACATATACTGTTACACAAATATTTTTACCTCATGAATACGGAAAAGCAAAAAAGACCTTTAAGATCATCAAGTCCAACCATTAACCTAGCACTGCCAAGTCCACCACTAAACCATGTCCCTAAGCACTACATCTACCCGTCTTTTAAATACCTCCAGGGATGGGGACTCAACCACTTCCCTGGGCAACCTGTTCCAGTGCCTGACTACCCTTTCAGTATACATACTTTTCAGTATATTCAATATTTTTTTTTTAATCAAAAAGGTAAAAAAAAAAAAAAAAAAGACTAAGAGAGCTGAAAAACTTCAAAAACAATATAGTTTGAATCACTGCAAACAGTTTTTACTAAAACGTTAGCCTTGTGGGCTTAAAACAGGTATAAAAAGAAATAAGCATCCAATATCAACAACATCTTAATGCAAAGATTTGCTATGTAAGTATCTCCTGAATTACAACACTGGTGTTATAAATACGATGTGATAGAAATGACTCAGGGAAGAGAAAACAGCAACTAAAAGGACTACTTCCTAGCCCTTGCCACTACTCTTCCACATTCAGTACAGCCTACCACCCCTGCTACATTAACATCCCCTGATATAACTAGAAAACAACATTTTCCCCAAACTCTCACCACTATTTCTCTTCTTCACCATGGTACTTTCTGGTACAACATATTGGGGGAAGGAAGGGGGGGTGGGTGGATGTAGTTTTGTTGCACCTTTTGAATTGGAAGTTAATTTAGGAGTAATCCTTTTTATCAGATATATATCTAACAGTCTGATAATATGCTGTGTGCCAAAACACTTAACCCAAAAGAGTAAAGCAGATTTCATATGCTAGAACCAAAGACAAAACAAGCTTTTTATCACAGAGATAGGAACTTGCTATAATTTTCAGTATGCTATTTGGGGAAAAAAGTTCTTAAGTAGTGAAACACAAATACAAGTTTTTAACTACTGTAAACAGCTCTAATATGAATTAAATTATTACTTACCAAAATCTACTCTTGTTAGTATGCACTGCATTGGATGGTCAGTTGTATGCCTCGTTGTTGTTGCACCACTTTCATAACAAGTTGCACACAAGTCGTAATCGTAGCAAATTAAACACTTGTATCTACGACCTCGAAAATTTCCTTTTAAACATGCATCACAGCTGACACCTGTGAACAAAGAAAATTGCTTGAAAACAACAATAATTTCACACTGTTTTAATGATACAGATTTGTTGCTATCGCCCCCGAACAACAAAAGGAATTCAGCCAAGAAGCTTTTATGCAGCTGATGCACAATCTTTAAAAAGGCAATAATCATCCAAAGTGAAAGTCAAACTCAACGTAAAATAAAAACCAGTCAAACACTCAAAATGATAATTGGTTAGGCTATAAATTCTTTTTAATCACGTTTTTCCCCTGGTCAGAAGCTTGGTTCAAAACACTCGAGGTTAAATAGTACAGTGGTTGATCTGGAAGTTTTGTGAAAACAAGCAAACAAAGAAAAAGCCCACAGCAGACCATCCCACAAGCTACACAAAAACACACACCACCACCACATAACACCATCCCTCCCTGTCTTTTGTGTTTATTTTTATACTTTCTAATAGTTCAATTCTGAAGAACACCACAACCATTTTTCACAATGTATACATATCCGGAAGCAGCAATTTGAGTCTTCTATTTTTAAGTACAGAAGAACTTTGAATATATCTTAATTTTATGTTGCAACAGCTCTTCAGATTCTTCCTTTTGGAAGTTCAATCTTTGCACTGTAAATCAGTCACGCTGCCTGTGTCAGGAAAAGGCTTCATTATCTTCTAAAGGTTTTTGCAATTTTCTCTGTTTCATTTCAGTTCTCTGCTGTTAATTTAGATAAGGGCAAAGGAAGCATCATCATCTTTTCATCTGTCAAGGCCCACAAAAACTTCTTTCACTTACAGTAGTAAATTAAGGGCATTCATGAAAACAACTAGTGTGTACAACACATGCGATATTTTGATCGAAATCTTCTTTCAGGATCAATTTAAACAAGCTTTTCATACTTCAGTGCAAATACAGAAAACATAGAAACAACGTTATTGAAAGAAAGCACTGACATTGTCTCCAAGAGGATTAGTAGAGGAAGATCAAGGTCTCAAAACTGCAAATATCCCAATGATCATTTCCTAACTATAAATTCTATGATCAGATAAAAATTTAGCATTAATACAAGTCACCACTACTACTCGCCAATGTCAAGCGCAGAGGACAAAATTAAATTACATAGAGAGAATTTTCTCAACATCTCTCCAAGCTAGTATTTCTTCATATCGCTCTAAATTACCATGTTTTCATTTTGATAACCTGACACCAGGTGGCATAACACACTACTTTCATATCCTTTAATGTAACAGGAGAGGAAAGTGTCAAGGAAAAAAAAAAAAAGAAAAAAAAAGCCTCATAAGTTCAGCTCTGTTCTTTTTAACCCATACACTGTGTTAACCACAATTTTAGAAGTTTGCCGCTCTGCCCCTTAAAAAAAAACCAAAAAAAACCCCACACATACTGAAAGATAACAGAATGCCAAATTGAACTGGATGCATCCATATTAATCTCAGGTTTTGAGGAAAAATACACTCTCAGGAAGGGTTCCGTTATAAGCAGAGAACAAAAAGAGCAAATGAATAAACAAGTTGTGAAAAGAATTCAGATTCTTCACAAAGTTCTGATTTACATGAAGTGTTAGTACTTTTTAAAAGCTTTTAAAATTAATTCCTATGGAGTGGAAACTGTTCTCCTGCATCTTCTCCAGAACGACCTTATGGAAATGACCACAGAAGAGAAATAATCCGGTTTATTTTTAAATAAAGTTTTTGATGCATTTTACCTTAGAGAATAGCAAGGAGACTTTTTCAGTTTTTCTACTGTCAATTATCAATACACAAATACAGATGTAGACTGATAAACAGGCCCAAATAATTACATTTATACCAATGTACCCTCTCCTCACAATCAGAATAACTGGGGCTACCAGGTCTAGTTAAAAAAAAACTTGTTGCTCATAGACAAAAACGTGCTTGCTTTTAAATGCAACAGTATTCCACTAGAGGGTAGCATTGAGCTAAAAGCCTGAAGATTTTTTACTCATTATACCTTTTAGTAATCAAACCTCACTCCTAAAGGCATCTTCAACAGTATTCCCTTCCCGGTAATATTAATCAATTTCTACAGGTAAGCATTTTGAATTTATGGAGAATCAAGAGAGGCATACCAGTCCCATGAATTAAAAGAAGGTTGTTTTCCTTTAACACATTGGACTCACTATTCTGGTATGTCAAGTTAACCACATTTTTCACCTCTATCATGGCTGAAAATTTCAGAGAAAAAGTTATCACACATGCCACATGCTTAATACTAACATTTAAATACTATTAAAATATATATCGTTCCATATTTATTCTCATCTTCCCAATCAAATATAATTTATTCTTATGCTATAAAATTTGGTTAATTTTGAATAAAAATAAACAGAAGAGCTAAGTATTTATCAGATTAAGATGAACATTTGATCTAATGTCAAGAAAAGGAGAATAGTGCTGAATAATATTAGGGTTCAAATATCACCTCGCACTAGGATTAATTTTTAAAACTACAAACAAAACTCAGGTATGAAATCTAATAAGATAACCTGAACATCCAAAATAAAAAAATGAGTAGCCTTGAATAAGCAGAAATAAGTACTTCTTTTCTCTCTGAACAGTAAAAGACTTTTCCATTTGACTTCCCCAAATACTATGGGCAATCAAAATAATATTAGGAGCAGGTAAAAATAACACTGGAAATTTCACATTCAGCTCACACAGGACACGCAAGACTTCAGGCTTATCAAAAGACCTCAGGAATACCATTTTGAGGACATCAGTCTGAGATAAAATTTTAAATAACTTGCTTCCTTTGTCAGTCTTATCCAAGACTGGCTCTATCCTGTTTCAGTATTTCACAGAAAAAGCACAGAAATACTGAATTCCTCTTAACTGCTAGACAAAGTCGGAACAACACTTCGATGTAAATGTAAAACAGTTAAAGAGAACATGTCCATTGTAAACAAAGAAGCACTCTTTACTTGAAGACATTAAGCCACAATTACTTCCTACTATAACCTACACCCAAGAAAGAGAAAAGATTTTAATTAGAATAAGTTACAGTTGCAAGTAGAGAGTAACAACTCATCCCTTCACAATCAAATTAAAAAACGTAGTCTATGGTCGCCAAGAAGTGCAGCTCCAGTACCAACATGATCCGGAGCGCTCTAGCGAGGTGTATGAAGGGCTTTCCTGAACCGGGGAAACCTCAGGAGGAGCCGAGAGAGTGGCCCGCAGCTCGCAGGACAGCAGCTGATGAGACCTGGGCGGGGCCAGGAACAAAAGTGGCAAAGCCCCCACACGCAAAAAAGAAGCCCCTAGGGAGCACTAGCGAACAGGGTGGAGGCAAACAGGGAATGGTGCGGCAGCTTGCGCAGAAAGGCATTGTAACTCTGCCGGCCTGACCAGGGAGCAATACTATCCACCCGGCAGAAGGCCATGGCCTCTCTAAACTCTGCAC